AGGCCCGCCGAACCCGCGGCCCGCGGCGGATACGGGTTGGGCTTGCTTTTCACAGGCCCGCCCCGCCGGCCCGTTTTGACAGCGCTAGCTGAGGGAAGAGAGAAGAGGGTTGAGAGGGGCTGTGTTGGGGAGCTGGCTGGGCTAATGATAGTAAAGAAAGGGTAGATTCGGGCTGAAGGATCAACCAAGTTGGAAGGCCATATCAACCGAAGAAAAGATCAGTATCGTGAGGCCCAATGGGCTCTGGCGTCTTGTCTAGAGGTAAGTTGTCCAAGCGATCCATGATAAGGCTTGGCTGAGAGAATGCCACGTTGCCTCCCAACCTATCAAACCCTACCATTTGGACTTCACATAAAATGGAGTTAGGAATTTGAAGCTACTAACCAGTCAAAGCCACCAAAGAGGCAGCGGGCAGGGTCAACCTCAACTGGAGGCCGTTGATTGGCCAAAATATAGCCGACGTGAAAATTGGCAAAGGCCTGCGGCCCTTCTGATGTCGGCAAACTGGCGAGGGAGGAACTGGACGCCAGAACAACATGCGAGACTCCAAGCTCCGAGAACAACGCCACAAGGACGACGACCACACTAGTTATCTTCTATGCATTAGAAGTCGATCCTAAACCTGCCAGGGCTGAGTTTACAGCGATGAGAATGTCTGCCATACGAGCATCAACCTTCGAGAGCGCTGCCGGCTCGAGGCAGGAAATCGACAGGGCTGGTACTGAGTAGCCTGTGTGCCACTTGCTGCTGGCAAGAGAACAAGGCCCGTTGGACCTGAGGAAAAGGATGTTACTGGCAAGGACTGAGCAGCGTCAGGAGACCAACATCTCCTTCAAGATAGCTAACTTTTGGCAACTTAACTGCCAATGAGTTGGCGCCGGCAGGAGCCGGTTTCCGCACTCTAGTCAGAGGGCACCAGTAATAGGGTCATGAATGAAGAGACTGAGACAAAAGAGAAGAGAGGAAAAAAGGACAAAAATCTAAACAACAACAAAAAAAAAAGAACAAAGGAAAAAAAATTCAGAAACCAGCCACTGCCGCCGAAGACCGGCCGGAAAAAAAAGAAAGAGCTAAAAGTTTTTGAGACAGAAAAAGGAAAAAGAAAAGGAAGAAAAATAAAAGAAAAAGAAAGAGATCTAGAGAAAAAGAGGAGAAAAAAACCTAATGAGAGAGGGAACATTGTTCTGAATTAGTTTACTGCATGCTCTTAACCCGTAAGATATAAACAGACACGTGTAGACAGTAGCTGCTACTTTGATTAACTAAAACATGAGATTCATTTAACTGGGTAGTTAGTCTGATGTGTTTTGGGTAGTGATGTTGTGTGTATCATGTGTTGTTTGAATATTTACAGTCATCATGTGAGATAGTATGATGATATCCCCCATATGAGCTCAAGAAGGATTATTCTGTTAAACTCTGCAGGTGGATTACGTTTTGACATAATAATAAAGAATTTAGTGATATTAGTCTCTGCACAAGAGCCAATTAATTTAAAATTCAATAATGAAATTAATTGTCGAAAATTTTAACTTAAGCACAGGGATGTAAATCGAGTAGTTATTATTGGAGGTTCAAAAGTAATTTGGGAGCCGAATAGGGAATGCCATAATACTTCTCTAGTGGACTGAAGTATTATTCAAGTATGAATGTAACTTTAGGCCAGGTCCATTAGTTGTGTCCACACTTGGGAAACCAATAATTTGGTGCCTCATTAGGGTCCCTATTGTAGCTAATACAAATCTTCTCTAGTGGGAAGCCCATACATATCTTCTCTTAGGATATGGAGACACAACACGTGTATCATAAACTTAGGAGTCTTAGAAATCCCAATTGAGATCTCTCCGTTTATGTTGCCCACCAAGACGTACGGAGATCGTGTAAAGGACATACGACAAAAGTCCCGAGGTCACCTGAGGCAACCCCGAGATCACGGTCTTCCAGCTGAGCTCCACCATACCTCAACCGTCGATTGCTGAGTAGCAGCCCAACGATCGCGGCGAGCCGCAAAGCAACGACGCATTGTCGTACGCCACAACCGCAGCCCCTCGTCGTGCACCTGCTCGTGTGCCATGCTCCTCGACCGCATCCCAGGCGACTGTTGTAAATATTTTTCCGGAGTAGAATCGAAAGATTCGAACACCGGGTCGTGTCTCTCGAGGAAGGTCAAGCGGATTACGTTGCACGTTTATTCAAACACAAATGAAAGAAATAAGATTCCTAAACATTCTAAATCAAAGATTGGTTTTAGTTTCATTATCAACTACTGCGAAAATTCAAATTAAGCAATAATAAAAAGAATAGCAAGTAACGAAGGACAATTAGGATTTGAGAAGCTAGGGAGTCGGGAAGATCCGTTTTGGTTCGAATTGCAATTAATGGGCAAGTGATTGTTCAGCTAAATGATTTGAATAATCGACACGTTCAAGTACTCATTCTCAATAACTTTTCGTAACAAGAGAACTGATGGGTCTACTTCCAGATCTGAAGAGAACAGGTGGATTTGAGCTCAGATCTGCTTGAACCGCCTCTGAATCGTTACTAGACCGCAAGAATACCTGCAAAAACTCAACGCCGGAGGTGTTTCCGGCGTAGAGCCTCCGACGCTCAAGTCAGTATGAGAGTGATGAAGGGATGCTGCGCAGCAGCTATGAGGGGAGTGTGAAATGAATGAGAGTTGGGGTTTAGGGTTGCCTCATCTCCTTTATATAGGAGTGAATACTTACCTAAAGTACCCGAAATGCCCAAGTCGGTGGACCTAAAAGGTCCAAAATGACCCTGGTCGATTCGTCTCCCCTCCCTACTGAGTCATCTCAAGATTTCTTCTTATCCATTAATGGTCAAGAGGTTCCAAGAAATATACCAAGTGTAAGGAGTCGTCGGAATGCCTCTCGTCTCGAGGTACAAGGAGTCGACCTCGAGTATAAACAAGTCGACCCAGGATCTCTTGGTTATTCGGAGGCTATATTCTTGTCGGTTTTCTTAGATAGATGTCGACTTTCGGGAAGTCGACTGAACAATGTCGACTTCCAAGAGTCAACTTGTAGGGCATCTGCCACTTCTCGTTATCGACCTTGTTAAGAGTCGACCTGGAGGAATCGACTTCAACGTGTCGACGGGTTCATGTCGACATGACGAATCGGTTTAAGCCATTATCTGGTCGAGTAGGGAGCCTTTAGGCCGGTATATCTTTATATGGCTATATCATCTAGTCCTCCCCCCCCCCCCCCCAAAAAAAAAAAATTACTCTAAGCAGTCGACTGCTTAAGAGTAAATTTGGTGAGGTATGGTTGTGTCGTCTTCCTGCCATACTTGCTCGTACTTGCCTCTTCTATAACTCATCTCGTCAGTTGATTGAGAAACACCTCAACCCCTTATGATTGCTTTTTCGAATAAGTCTGACACTCTGATAGACCCTTTTTGAAGTTTAAATTTCAAAAATTCTGAAGTGACGCGCGTCACCTCAACCGCCGACTCTTCGTATTCCGTGCCTCATCAGGATCGTTGGTTCTTCTGCTCATCCAACGATCAGCGTCTATCATCCTCATGTATAAATATACTTCGGGTTTTCCTCAGAACACTTTTTACGCTCTCAAAGTCTCTAATTCTCCAAATGCTTTCAACTCTCCGACAATCTTCGCTCTTCGGCATCACCGGCGTTCTCCTTTTCCGGAGACCTCCAGCTTTTTCCGAATTCAACCGGTCCAGCCATCATGTGTAAGTTCTACTACTTCCTCTTACCTTTCATACTTTCGTTGGTTTTACCTTTCTTTGATTTTTCTGGCCTTTTTTGAACCTGAAGTTCATGTGTGTTCTTCATGTTCTTCGAAGATTTTTTATGGATTTCGTGTTGGATCTTTGACTGTGCATGTTTTGCTTGGATTTGTTGTTTTTTGATTTGTTGATTGTCTACTTGTGAGATGGAGTCGACTTTTCATCCTTCGCTAAGTATATCCCTGTCGACCTAGTGGCCTTCTCTTTTCTTTCTCTACCCCTTCTTTGTTATTCTCTTGATCGACTCATGTCGACTTGCTGGTCTATCTCTTGTCGAATCGACTGAGTAATGACTTCAGGGGCTTCCTTGTTTCCTTTTGACATTGCAGAAGTCGAGTCGTCTTTCGATGACTTTTGGAAGTCGACACTGCTTGTTGTGTTCAGTGTATTATCCCATAACTTTGCTAATTCCAACCTTTTCTTTTTCTTCTCTTTAGCTTCCGACTCGTCTTCGCTCTCTGGCTCCCTTGGCCGTCAAATCAACGAGTATACTCACCAAGTCGATGAGTGTTCAAGCTCTGACTCTGTTCAAGTGACCGGCATTAAGATGGTCTTTCCACCTCCCAACTCTCTTTCTTGCCCCTTGGCTTCCATCACCGATTGGAACGAATACGACCAAGCGCTCTTGGCGGGCGGTTTGGTCGACATCTCGAATAGCCCTTCTCGAGGAGGCTCTCCTCGTCTCAATCTGATCCCTCGAGGTATACCTCTTAGGTTCTTAGATATCCCCGTATATAGAACGAGTTTTGTGCCTGTACCATTAATTGCTCCTCTTCTCGACTCTCAAAATACTGTTTCGATAGCTTGCCCCTTAGTTAGGTTAGCTGTTCTAAATCCTTTTTCTTATGCCTCTGCAGCCGAGGTCGAGGGTTTCAGACAATTCAGTGGGCTTCCCTCGGACTGGGAATTGGTCGCCCTTGGTCCCGACAGTGATTTCGCCCATCCCCCTTCCAGCTGCCATGCATTTTTTGTGGACCAAGTCGTCTGTAGTCTTCGTTTTCCTATACAAGACGAGCTCCTACTGATAAGCAACTTGTACAATATACCAATTAATCAATTCTCTCCTAACGCCATTCGCATCATGATAGCCTTTATAGTCGTCTCTCGCATAGTGCTTAAATTCTTTTCGCCGGAGTTTTTCTTTTACTATTATGCCTACCGACTTTTCAAAGACTCCCATTGCTTGGGTCGCCGTGCCGGCGTCACTTTCCTCGATGATCTTTCGTCGAACGTAAATGAATGGAAGTCGAAGTACTTTTTCATTCGACCTGCTCTCGGCATGTACCCTTATGTAAATACCTGGATAACTTCTAAAGTAAAACAAAATAAACGGCCTCGCTCTGACGAGTTCGCCATGCTGTCGGCTGAGCTAAATAAGCACACTTACAGTGCTCGTCAATTGATCAAGGACCGCAAATTGGTCAATCATGCTCGCATCGTCATTTACGAGGATCTTCCTCGTCTCGATGACCCTCGTAAGCTTTTATTATTTCTTCTTGTGGAGTCGACTTTTAATGTTAATTATCCGCATCGCGATTGCTAACTGTCTTGTTTGATTGCTAATTTCCACTTGTTGTATTTTAGTTAAGGCACTCAAACGTTTTGAGTTGAAGAAGAAACAGCCGACCGGTCAGTCTTCTGGCGACTCTGCTCCTCCCCCTTCCCGCGGGCGGATCTGGGTCAGGGCCCAACGCTGCGGCAGTCGAGACGACGGCTGCCCAAAAATCTAGGGCCGAGAACCCTAGTGCTGCCCAGCAACACAAATTGTCACGCTCTGCTTCCTGAAAGAGGGCCCAAGACGAGCGGGCCGCTATACTGATTCCCAGTGACCTAAAATGCCACAAGGTCGATAAGGGAAAAGCAAAAGCGTCACTGTCAAGGACGTGACTGTGAAAATGCCTTCGAGGCTCTGGAACCACCCTCAGCCCTACAAGGTGGCTATGTAACTTAACTCCCTCATCCCTGAGGACGACAAGGAGCGTGTCGTGGGGAACCTGTATGAGCATTCAAACTACGCTATTCAGTGTCTTTCCCAAGTATTTTTCCTATCCTTCAGTCGACTTGGTATCGCATTTTTCTTAAACTTTATTCATCTTTTTCTCATCTGTCTTTGATGCTTTCTCGCAGTTTCTGGCGGCGGCGCTTCCTTGCCTCGAAGAGGGGAGTAAGGCTTTCGCCGTCTCTACTAAGTCCCTTGAGGACAAGTGCGAGGCCCAGCGCCAGGAGATCAAGGCGCTGAAGGAGGACCTGGAGGCCTCGAAGGCCCTTGTCGACAAGCTAAAGACCGACAAGGCCTTGGCTCTGCATCTGAACGGCAAGCTCAAAGACGACCTCGACAAGGCTCGTGATTAGTGCATGGTCGAGAGAGAGAATGGCATCAAGGAGCGGCGCAGAACCTTCTTGAAGTCCCCCATGGGTGCCATCTTTCTCGAGACTTATTGCCAGGAGGTCGTCAAAGCCTTCTGCAACTCCCCTGCTTTCCTCGACAAGCTTTGCCCTGCCATCGTCCAATACTTCGATTATGACTTTGACGCATGGCGGCGGTAGTAGAGGGGTCTGAGTTTGATGGGAAACTCGACCGCGAGACGGTTAAGGAGACGCTCCCCGACCCCGAGGGCTATGAGGGTGACTCGTCTCTTCCCGATGACTACCCGTGGTGGTCGGGACTCGAGGCTTGGGCCATTCGCAAGGCTGGCCTAAGTTCACAACTCGAGGTCCCCGTCGCCCCCCTGGCCGGTTTGACCGAATTAGTCAGGCCCGAGGGGGTTGGTCATGAGGAGGAGGTCGAGGAGCAAGGGACTGAGCCGCTTGTCGACAGGGATGCTGAAAGAGAGAACCTCGAGAAGTCTACTACCGTTGTGATGGAAGGTGGAGACGACACTGTTGAGAAGTCGGATGCCGACTCTTAGCCGTGTTTGTCTATTTTGGGGCTGTGCCAATGTTTTGCTAGCTGTTTGTTCTGCTTTATTACCGTTGTTTGTTATTGTTGTTATTATTTTTTTTNCGACCTGTTTTTCGGAACTAGTGTGTACCCCGTGGGATGCACGGGAATAATATTAAATTAACAATATTATAAATAGATCTCGAGTTTGAGTCACTGACGGAAGTGGAAACTACTATTGATCCTATTTAAACAGAGGAAGAAAAAAAATAATTATAAAGTAAAGAGGAGGATAAACAATAC